CTTTTAGTAAAATAAGCTTATTAGATAAAAATTTTTTATTATTATTTTAAGCTTATATATTAAATAAATAAATTAAATAAATAAGCAAATATTCTAAATAAAAAATATAAGAATATAATTACTTAAAATAAAATAATAATAGCCTATTAAATACAAATTCTCCTCTTATAATAAAAAATTAATAATAATATTATATAAGATTTCTAATTAGTTCTAATTAAGGCTTTAATAAATCTAGCTTAAAAAGAAATCTAGTATAATAGTATCTAGCTTATAAATAAGCTATTAAATAAGAATTAAAAGTTATTAAAATTAGAAAAACTATAAAATAAAGCAAGAAATAAAAAAAAAACATTTAAATATTATAAGATAACTTTTTTTATAATATAGTAAACTATTTATATTTAATAATATAATAATACCTGAAATATTTTTATATATTACTTTTATTTAGAAGATATATATATAGCTTCTAATAAAATATTTAAAACAAGTTAAGCTTTAATAGCTTTTCTAGGCCCGCTATTATTAGCTAGGCCAGAATATAAATATTAATTAATATAAGAATAATTATTATATTTTTAGAAATAAAAAACCAGGTCTTTTATATTTATTACTAGTTTTTAATTACTTTTAATAATATATATTAGTAAATTTTAAAAAATACCTAAAAAAAATAGAAATAAATATAATATAATAATAATTTTTATTAATTACCTAAATAAGTATTTTATTATAATTCCTATTCGAAATATAATTATAATTAAAAAATTAATATTTCTATTTCTTATTTATATAGTTTACTAGATTAATATTCTGGAAACTATAATATTTAATTAAGGCTTATAGTTTATATTAGATTTCTAGAGCGAGTTTTATAAATATATTAATATAAAGCTTAAATTATTAATTATTAACTATTTCTAAACTAATAGCTAAATAAAGATTATTAATTAATATTTTAATTAATAGCTATATTTCTATATAAACTATTATTAGAATAATTAGAATAAATAAATAATAATAATTAATTACTAATAAATAGCTCTAGTTTATAAAACTATAGGCTAATTCTTATTTCTTATAAAAAAGAGCTATAAACTATAAATTATAATAAAAGATATAAGAATATTATATTATCTAAGCTAATAAATATTACTAATTAGTAAATTTTAAAATAAGAAATAAAATATAAATTATTATTAAATACTAGAAAAATAATTATTCGAGCTATAAGCTAGCTTATTAAATAAAAGAACTATATGAGATCCTAGAATAAATCAGATATTTTTTTAGGCTTAAGCTTCTGAAATTAATAAAAATATATCTGGTTTTTTATATAGAAAAGCTATATAAAGATTCAAATAATTTCCTTTCTAAATAAGTAAATCCGGAGCCTCTATTATTAGAATTATAAAATAAAGAAACGGAATATAAATTTTAAAAAATACTAGTAATAAAGCTATTTTATAAAAAGCTTAAATACTAAATCTAGTAAAAAGAATAAGATTTAGATTTAGAATAATATCTGGTATTTTTATTAAATAATAATTCCCTAGTTCTTTAGAACTTCTATAATAAGAATTCCGAATAGCTAAAACTATTTCAGAACCTTTTTTACTAGTTAGATTATACTAAAAATAATATATTACCAGAATTATATAATATAAATAGAAATTCTTTAAGTTATATATAGAAGGCCCCTAGCCTTTAATATATAATTTGCGATTTGGAAATTTAATAGAAACTTTTAAAGCTCGGAAATAAGCTTATTTTAATAAATAAAAATATTATAATTATTATAATATATATTATTAATAGGAATTAGACTAGAACTAGCTAGGTATTTAAAATCGAGAAATATAAATTAAGGTTATATATTATAACCCTATTTAGCTAATATATAAGCTTATATATAGCTTGTAATTATTTAAATCCGAGACTTCTTTAAAATTCTCTTTTCTTTTTTAGCTTTAAATTATTAAAATAAAAATAGTCTAATTTTGCCTTTTAGGTCCTAGATTTTATATTTATAATAATTTAATTAAAATATTTATTATAAAGAATATATAATTAATAGAAGTAGTATTTCTTTTTATAAAAAAAGTAGCTTATATAAAAATAGTAAAAAAGTCTCTAGTTATATAAAGCTTTTTCTAGTTTTTATAAAATAGAAAATTCTTTATAAAATTATTTTTATAATTCTAGTAATATTTATTTATATATTTTATTTTATATAATTATTTATTAGAATTTTTTTTATAAGTTCTATTTACTTAGTTATATAAGTAAATAATTTATAAATATAAGCTATAATATTATATATTTTACTAAATAAACCTAAAAGCCTAAACTTAATTTTCTTTCTTTTATTATTACTAATTTCTTAAATCTATTTCTATTATTTATATAATTTAAGTTTTTTTATTTTAATTAATTTAGAGAATAAGAAAACTTATATTATAAAATTAATAATATAGCTAATATAATAAATTTATATTTATTATATATTCTATTTAATATTAAATTCTTATTTCTAGTATACTTGAATTATTTTATAAAAAGTTCTATTAATTCTAGTATTATTACTTATAATACTATAGTTTTCTAAAACTAAAAAAAGAATTAAAAATTACTTTTCTTTTAAATAGCTATAAACTAGTTTAAAAACAAAAAAAACCTTTTAATACTTAAACTTATATAAGATAAAATAAGTATAAATAGCTAAAAAAAAAAAAAGTAATTTAAAAAATATAAATATATAAGATTACTAATTAGAGAACTTATTATATAATATTCTTATATTAAATCCAGAATTCTTTAATCTTAATAGAAATAATAAAGTAAAATATAAAAAGTATATTTTTATAAGCTTTATTTAAAAGCTAGTAAAATATATAAAATTCTAGCTAATTTATTATATTATAAAAGAGATTTCATATAATAATGAAAGTAATTAAGACTTTTATAAGAACTCTTTAATTAAATTTCTTTATATTTTCAAGTTTTTAAGCTTAATAATAAAGCCCTTAAATTTATTAAATAATTTTCTTCTAGTTCTTGAAATTAGTAGATTTAAGAATAATAAATAAATAATACCTTAGAATATACTTTCTGAGGTTCCCTATAATAGTAGTATTATATAGTAATAAAAAAGAATCTAATTAATAATATAAATAATAAAATAAAGCTTTATTTTTATTAGATAATATATAATAAGAATACTTTCAAATTAGGAAAGTTCTCTTTAAATAATTCACAGAAAATATTACTATCTCGGATAGTATAAGGAAATAGTCTGGTTTAATTAAAGAAGATATTTTGAGAATATACTTAAGGTAAATTAATTATATAAATAGATAAAAAGTAAGGAAAGGAGCTATAGTAGGGAAACTAGCAGTAGATTCGCCTGCCCCTGTCATTTTCGCCTTACCCCTGCCATTTTGGAACGATTAGAACGTTCTATTACCGATATTACCTAATACCTGTCAATACAGGCCGGAACGTTCCGTGGAATGTTCCAGGGTGGAATATCGCCAAGCCTGGGCTGGAAGATTATTTCACAGCACAAGAGAACTTACAAGAAGCAATAGAGAGCGTAATGCAGTGTTTAGAGGTATCGTCACGCATAATTTCTTCCAACGCAACCACGACCTCAACCCTTGGCCGAAGAATCACGAGTCCCCAAATGGTGTGTTTGATACCGTATGGAAGCTCGCTAAACTTGGGGAAGCTTGAAAGTGGCAGTGCTGCGGGTTTAACCTTACTTGTTAGGGGTTGTTCTCATTTCGCAGTCAGGAATAACAACTGATTATCACACGCCAATCCTAACATGAAGACAATTTGTTTCTATCCAGAAAGGTGAGCGGAGCTGCTTTACTCGCAGTTTTGGGTGAGTCGAAGGAGAGCGATGGTGGATGGACTAGTATCGAAGGCGGCCTGTTTCGGCTCCTCGGCTACGACTGCCGCCAGCTAAGTTTGGAAAAAGTCAGTCAAGGATTCTTCAGAGCCAGGAGGCAGTGCAAACCCTTTCAATCCAATGAAACTTTTTACTCATTCTCAAAAACCAGGATCCTCTTTGGCCTCCATACCAGACTTTGTTGTTGGCTCCCATCCAGCCTATTGGAACCCGGCTCTGGTTGGGGTTGGGTGTGGCTAAAATTAGCCGCTAACCACCCTCACATCCTGGTGTGGCAGGTACAGGAGGGGGCTCAAATAGGCTCCATATTCGCAGTCACTATCGCCCTCGCCAACTCTCTCTCACAGCATCGACTCCTCCACTGAAGTTATTCCAACTCTAATTAGACCTCGTGAATTTATGCAGTCGCTAGCGTGGGCAATGGCTGCCGCACAAAGGGATAGATCATCGAAACGACTTTCCGAGGGGGTACTCAGAAGTACGCCTCCTAGGCGTATAAAAAGTCAGATGGCTTAGGGGGATAGAGCCGAAACTATTTTTAGATTCGGAGTACTACAACTGCGAGTAGATCAGGTTAAAAGACTGCACCTCAGAGTGATTTCGTCTGAAGTATTATACCTTGATATACTATAAGATTACGTATACAGTTTATTTGTACTTCAAGCCCGAGTACTCTCAGCTGTAGTACTATAACTGAGAGTACGTCGACTGCACCTCAGAGTACTATAGGATAACATATACCGTTTATTTATACTTTAAGCCCGAGTACTCTCAGTTGCAGTACTGCAACTGAGAGTACGTCAGCTTACAAGACACCTCCGGTTTTCTCTATGAACCTTGCTTTTCAGTCACATGGGCAATGAAGATATACTCAGAACAATTGTCTTTATACATGGTGTGATATTCTTGTTAATCTATACTAATAATTCCGGCGATAGTCTTCTACAGTAGTTGAACTCTAATCCTCCAATCTTTGTTCCACATTCGGTTGGTAGGCATGGCCGCTTCTGCTCAGGCGCTGATTATCCTCGGCTCACCCTCGGCTCAAACAGCGCACATGAGTCCTGGCACCTCGCTGAGCAACCTGAGTAGTACCCACTTAATTAATGAGGCTTGATGTTGGCTTAGGGCACACATCATATCATTTTTGTCAAGTTTTGACGATTATTCCTGGGAGCCCAAAGAGGCGCCCAAGGATCCCGAACAGGACCTCTATGAAAAATGGATTATGTTATGCCACGCGTTTCGCTACCTCGCATCACATCTAGCTACCACAAACGCAGCAGCGCTGCCTCTGGAGCCGCAGATATCCAAGCCAGCTCATGCACAACTCCCACCCCAAGCCTCGCTGCCTCGTCAGCATACCTCTGAATCAGCATGACATTAACAAAACACCACTCATCCATAGGAAACACTCCTTCATCCACCGAAACAATGTCATCGACCATGTTAGACCGGGATAGGAGCATGAACTCGAGCCCCCGATGCTGATTCTGCTCAATCATGTCGGTCCAAGTCTTTTCTAGAAAAATCGTGCCTACAGATTGCGACTCTTGGTCAGATATAATGAAAGCTTCGTGGTCTGGCCAGTCTATGCTGCGTTCGCCAAGATCGAGTGTGTCACCCAGGAACTGGAAGGTGGCCGTGCTTGTCCAGCAAGCAAGGGAGCAAGATCTTAGATCTTGTGTTGTCATCTCTTCTCTGGGCCGCAAGGTATTCAGAAATGCTGCTGGCGGACTGCCCTGCGGACGAATATCTTCGTGCTTAGATGGTTCAAAGGGCTTCGACGGTTCCGAGCCATGAGGAAGTGATACCTTAAATCCGGTGCCATCTCTATTGACCAGGTACCAATCGACTTCCCGCCGAATGTACCTCGTGAACTGCGCCCGATAATTTGACAAAACATTCCATCCAGCCCATGACCAGGACGGAAAGCCAACACCCAGATTCCCAGTCGGTAGTATCATTCGTCGCCGGTGCGGTCCCCGTTGGTGCCAGAGAAGGGCCTCGTCCAGACAGACTTCAGGGAGTCCATGAATAAATTCGGTGTTCATGGTGGTCCTAAGGATGGACATCACCCCTTCTAACGCCGCTAGCGCATCGCCCTGATTTGACATTTCTCTAGACGTATATCGTTCTACTACATTACGATAGTATTCGAAGGCCGCCGAAGGGTTCCCAAACTTGCTTCGGGAGAGTCCCTGACCGTTAGACTTTTGACCGTGCGTCAGGTTATTATAAAGCCCACCAATATTCCAAAGGCTAGTTCCAGGGTATACAAACGCCGAAGGGGATTTTCCTTCGCCCACGACATCCTCACAGAACACTCCGCACGTACATTGGAAGTAGAGCTGCAATTCGGTGAAGAATAGTCGCCTTCTCGAGAGCAGACCCTCTTGAAAAGTCCACGCTCGTGTATTCCAGGGGCTAGTCATCGTGACTTGCTCTACGTTGAGTATTGTGGTACAAAGCTCGAGGCCATGTATACGGGCTGTGTTTTGAAATGACCGGCGGCTCAGACGATATCCAGGCAGGCCATCGTACCGGGTCGAATCTTCTTCGGCTGCTGGGGCGGATATAATTGCCAATAGTGCGTTGTCGTACACCCGATCCATCTGCAAGATCTGCTCCTCTTTGTCCATGTCGTCGTCCTGGATTATGCATAGTGCATCGACCCATAAGAACTCTCGGCCAATTTCCCGAACAAAGTCAATAGCATCCTGTATTGTTCCCGGAAGCAAATCCCATACGCCCGAGAGAGAGCTGCGCATTTGAAGATCTGCGATGTTTAACTTTGTCGTGGTGAAAGAGCGAGTTGACTGAGCCCAACAGTAGCTCAACACAATATACTTGGCCTCCGGTGGGAGCAATACAAGGGACATAGAGTTCACATCGATCACGCGGAGATTGCGGGGTGCCTTACTTGTGTAGGCCACATCGTCAAAGTGAGCTGCCTTCTCACAAAGGTCTCCATGGCCGTGTTCGCATTCATCAAGCCATTTTCTAGCAAGCTGAATATTTGCTCGGATAGGATCGACAATTCTTCCATGAAAAGTCAGCTTGGAGCCACGAAGTGGGGAACTGGTCGAGAGTAGCTGAATGTCGCCTGCATGATCGAGGTATGGTCTATTTTGGTCCGACTGTCCTCTTAGCGCAATACCCAGGCGAAAGCATTGCCTAATCAAAGTCTCGTTTAGATCGATATTTGGCCGTGAGGCCTTGGATCCTAGGGATTGATCTTCTGCATAAAGGTAGCTGTAGAGAAAGATTTGAGGATTGCTATCTAGTCCCGGCGCGTCGTTGGCCCACTCAACATACTTGTCCGCAGTCAACCAATTCGCCAGGCCCCACCACCTGAGCAGTGCCCCCATTACCAATCCACATAGGACACAAGTATCGGATGTTCTGCGAAGGTCTGTCAGGGAGTATAGCATTGCTGCATCTCTAGCAGGCCCGACGGATCCTGAGGGCACCCGCAAAACGTGCATTTCCTTTTGAAAATATGAAGCGAGCTCAATCTCTTCGCATCTTGAACAGAGAATTGTCCTCGACTCTTGCATATTTGAAGGTATTCGATAAGGGGGAATGTCGAATTGCCGATGAGCGCGGGTGCTCCCTGGCCTTTGCAAGGTGTTGCGCAGAGATTAGAATCCCAACTCCACCTCTATAGATATTCAATACCAGAATAGCGAGCCTGGGGGCCTATCCTAATACAAGGGGCCTATCGCGGCCCCCTAGAGCCCGTTCTAGCTCCCCTGAATCCTTCTCGTCAGGAGTTGACGCTCTCGACAGCCGCGCGACTAGGGATAAGCACACCTAGGCAAGACGGGTAAGTAGAGGTGAGGCGGTCGAGAGCGCACAATGGAGGCCGGTGAGGTTAGGTGAGGTTAAGGTGAAGCGAGGGTGAGTATGTGATATTTGATCACGATTTTGTATGTAATTAGGGCACGTGTAATCACGTAAGGTGCGATCGGGGCTAAGGATTTCTACCCGATCGCATCCCAGCGAATAAACCTTACCTCCTTCTTACCCTTTGAAATCACAGTAGAGCGGCGAGGTGTCACGTGCGCGGTTACTTGGCACACCGCAAAGTGAGGTGAGGATTGGCGCGAAACAACAAGAAGTAAGTATTGAGGGGGCACGACACCACGCAAGTTTGGCAATTTTGCTATAGGACTAATATCGAAACCCATACCCCTTAATAATGAGAGACAATAATGAAATATCAAAACACTATACTTTATACTCCTCTAGAGTATACACCTATTATTAATAGTAAGTATAGGAGTTGGTTTCTCGTATAATTATAGCTATCCCTTCGTCCGCTGAGACATTGCCAGGCGCTAGCAAGGGGCCTGGCTCAGGGCGAAAGGGAATAGATGACTAATAAGTTTATAAGCAAAAGGACGCCTGCGCAGTCTGAGCCAGGCCCCCTGGCTAGCGCCTGGCAATGTCTCAGCGGACGAAGGGATAGCGAATAGAAAAACTTGAATTGTTCTCTTATTACGAGAAAAACTAAACTGAGGAATAATAGTCTAAGTTGCAGGAAAACGAAGGGGTATATATAGATAGCCCTAATCTATTATATAACTAAAACTCCTGTCCTAGTAACCTCCTGCTATATTGTCCTTTCCCGTCAAGGATTAACAATAACCCGTTATATTGTCAGGGTCGTTACACTATTTGGTACAGCATTTATACTAAAACTATTATTAGTGGCAGCTTGTTTGTTGGTTTATATATTATATATAATATACTATATAAGTACAGGAGTTCGATGCCGGGCATTCACTAGTGAAATCAAAGATCTCCCCGAGAGTTTGGCCATGGCTGCACGCCATAACACTTTCTGCACTGCCGCAAACAGTGTATCAAATGAGTAGAGTAGAGTAGAGTAGTGGGTCCTACTTATACTCTACTCAAGCTACTTATGAGTAGTATAAGTAGTGTGAGTAGGTACCCACGTGACAGTTACACGTAACAGACTAGCCTAATTAGGTAAGCCTACCATCTAGCGCCGCTCTAGCGCCAAGTTTCTACCCAATTAGGCAATGGCATTGCTTAGTAAGCGAGCCAAAGGTCAGGGGTATTACGGTTATTACGATATACGGTACTAGTAGGGGTTAGACTAGAACTAGAGAGGCATCTGGCATCTGAGAGAGGCATCTGGTATCTGAGAGAGGCATCTGGCATCTGAGCAAGGCATCTGTAGTCACCTGATTATTACACGTAACCCCGAGCTTAAGCTAGCACGTGGGCCCGTATATAGCTTGCGATTATTTAGATCCGAGGCTCCTTCGAGATCCTCTTCTCTCTTTAGCTTTGAATCATTAAAATAGAGATAGTCTAATTACGCCTTCCAGGCCCTAGATCTTATACTCGTAATATAATTTAAAGCTTACTCACTTCTTAATCCTATAGAGGATTTAAATAATACCTACCCGATCGGTTTTCGATAAGTATAGACGTAATATACCATAGCTACTCCTATACCGGTTAACTAATATTAGAATGAAAGAAAGCCCTAGAATAACTAGGCAAGAAAGCCCTAGACCGGTCAGATAAGCAGATAGGCTAGTAACCTTATTACTAAATAAAGACCTCTAAGAAAGCAAGTCCTAGAATAACTAGGCAAGTCAGAAGAAGCTATAGTACGAGATACTACTAGTATATTACTAGAAAATGAACTAGAGCCTCTTATTAAGTCTTCTAAGGAGTCCGAATATCCCATTAATACTTATAGTAAAAGAGATACTTTCTTTTAGAGAGCCTAAAAAGAAAAGGAACTTGCCTTATTAAAGGCAAACTTCCAAAAATTACTCCGGAGCCCAGAGGCTTTATATAAGAAGATTATTAAACTAATTCTAAAGATATATAATATTCTTGCCTATAGCAAGAATTATTATAATTAGCTAAGAGAAATTAAATAAGTCTTATAAAAGAATAAAGCTATTATTAAAAAGCTTATTATATAACCTATAGAAATAACCGGTTTCTCTATTCTAGAAAATAAATACTTAGTTAAATTTCCTAATTTTCTTATTTTTAAAAATATAACTAAGAATAATATTATATTTAATAATTAGTTAGTTTAAATTAAGAATAAGTTCTATAATAACTTTAATATTTACTAGATAGAAAACTTTAAGATTATTTATATTTCTGGCTATATAAATAGTTATATTCTTATACTAATTTCTTCTTATCTAAACCAGGATAATTAATATATATATAAGATTATTAGAGAACTATATACTTATTTAGAAAAGCTATATAGTAACCCGAATAAGGAATATAATATTTAGTAAGTCTTTAAGAAGCTATTTATAAAAAAGGACCAGATTTTTTAGGAATTCTATATCCTATTTCTAAGATATATAATAAACAGAAATATTAATTTATAGGATCTTAAGAATAACCTAAATAATAAACTTATCTAGAAGCTCTAAAAGGCTATAGCTATATATTATAATAATCCGGCTATTTATATTATAGAGTTTATATAATACTATATTATAAATAACTAGTAAATCCGAGCTTATTATAAAAAGAAAAACTAGATATTTAAGAAAACTAATAAAGATATAGATAAGCTAAGTTCAGAAGCCGCTCTTTATATAAAGCCTATTCCTAAGACCCTAGTAATAGATAAGCCTATTATTTTAAAGCCCGAATTCTTAGATCTCAAATACTATAATTATAACAGATTTAGTTATATATTTAAGAATTATCTAGAACCTAAAATAAAGTATATAAAGCAAGTCTTAGTAACTAAACTAGTAGTACTTATTATAAGTAAGTTATCTAAGAATATAGAATAGGAAAATAAGAACTCCTAAAAAAAGTTTTCTTTTTAGGGCTATATTATATAAATATAATAGAAATTAATTTAAGCTAGCTATTAAGAAATAAAGCATTTATATTTCCTTATATAATTAGTAATAATAAATTAGATATTAAGATTTCTTTTCTTATTAATACTAGAATAAATAAATATACTTTTATTAATTTCAAGTTTATAAAAATAATTAAATAATTTCTAGATATTAAGTCTATTTAATTAGTATTATCTTATAATATAAGAGAGTTTAATAGTAAATAGGCTATATCTATTACTTATTATATTAAGCTTATATTCTTAATTAATAAATAGAAGGTCCTAATACTTATACTAGTTATAAAACTAGATAAATATAATATAATTTTAAGATAATAATAGTTTATAAGTACTAGTATTCTAATTAATTATAAAAATAGAAAATTAATCTAGCTAAATAATTAGCCTAGAAAAAAGAATTAGAATAAGGTTCTAACTACTATATATAAGAACTTGGAAACTGGAAAAAGTAACTAGTACTAAGAAAATATAAATAGAAGAAATAAAGCTATAGCTATAAATAAGTTCTGAAAACCTTAGCTTATAAAAAGAAAACTTCCTTATTCTTTTCCTAAGCCAGGCTCAGAAAGCCATATATAGTAAAGAAATTAAGCTTAATACTATAAAGAAATACAAGTAGCCTTAGGAAATATAAAGGTTTTTCCTAAACTAAAAACAGAAATATTAAAACTATATTATCTAAAGGAAAGCTATAAGATCTAGTTAAGGCCTATAATTAATATTATAGGTATCTTATTAGCCGCTTTCTAAATAAATCTATAAAAGAAAAAGATTCTTTTCTTTATAATATTATTTTTCGAAATTAATAAAGAACTAGAATTATAATAAAAGAACGAGTTTATCTCGAGTAAGTAATAGCTAGAAGAAATAGAGCTATAGTAACTAGTAAGAGTTTTATTAGAGAAGTTTAAGAATTTTATAAATATTTTCTTAAAGAAAATATTAAATATCTTATTTTTATATTAATTATATAATTATAAGATTTAGATTAATAATCCTAAAGGCCTAGAGAGCTTAAAGTATTTCCTACTTTATTAATAATTAACCTATAAGCTATAGGAAATTAAGTATTTCTTTAAAAAGAACCTCTAATAGGGTTTTATTAAGCTAAGCTAGTTTTCTTTTATATCTTTAATTCTTTTTATAATAAAGGCTAATAAAGCTCTTTAATTCTATATTAATTATTATAAGCTAAATAACTTAATATAAAAAAACTATTATTCTTTTTCTCTTATTTATAAGATTCTTATATAGCTAGCTTAAGCTAAGGTCTATATAAAGCTAGATATCTAGTAAGTATTTTATTAGATTTAAATAAACCTAGAATTAGAAGAACTTATAATATTTTATATAAGATATAAGGCCTATAAATATAAAATTCTTTAGAAAAACCTAACTAATAGCCTTATTATATATTAGAAATATATAAATAATATTTTCTTTAATTATCTTAATATCTTTTATATAGCTTATTTAGATAATATTCTAATTTACTCGAATAATTCCTTAAAATATAAAGACTATATATAAAAGATTCTCTAGTAATTATAAGATACTAACCTCTAAGTAAATATTAAGAAATCAGAATTCAAAATTACTTATATAAAGTATCTAGGCTTTATTATTTCTATTAGAGATATTAAAATAGATTTAGATAAGATAATAGTTATTAAGAACTAGTAATTACTAAAAATAGTTAAGGAAATATAAGGCTTTCTAGGCTTTTATAATTTTTATTAGTATTTTATTATAGAATATAGCTATATAATAAAGCTTCTAATAACTCTAATATATAAGGAAGTTCTATTTAAATAAATAAATTAGTATTAAGAAGATTTTATAAAACTAAAGCAAGCTATATTCTCGATATTAATTCTATATTACTATAACTCGAATCTTTTTATTATAAATAAAACAAATATATTAAATAGAGTTATAGCTAGTATTCTCTTATAATAAGACCTCTAGATAGAA